CGGGGCGGGGCCTGGCCCAGGGCGACCGCGGGACAGCCGGACAGGGATGCTGACACACTGACACACTGACTGGGACCCACAGACACACACACACACACCCCGGAACCGCGCTCCGGGGTACACAAAGTCACGTGCTGGCAGGGCCGCGGGAAGCAGCCGATCGGACGCGCGGCCGGGACTCCCACAGGCGCACCTTGGACAGGGGCGCGGAGACACAGTCACGACTCACCTGGGGCAGGTGCCCACACACACCCGGGCGCAGAGACGCAGGCGGACTCTCTGACACAGTTGCCTGCGGGACAGGCAGATGGGCCCAGTGGGAACGACACACACGGGTGCACAGACACCCACCCTGATGAGCGCATCCAGAACCACACACTGACCGAGCGCGTTCACATTCGTGACATTCCCACTGAGCGGGCCCGCCAGTGCGCGCGCACCCACGCGCACACAGCTGTCATGGATACCTGGACATACAGCGTGACCTGGATGACACTCACCCGGGGACGCACACAGACACAGCCACACCAGCTCGCAGCTGACACAGTCACGCTGGCCAAAGTTGACCCTCACAGCCCTGGCTGGTGTGGCTCAATGGATAGAGCGACGGCCTGCGGGATCTGGTTCCATTCCTCCGGCCAAGGGCACATGCCCGGGTTGTGGCCCGATCCCCAGTGTGGGGCGTGCAGGAGGCAGCCGATCAATGATTCTCTCTCATCATTGATGTGACTCTCTCTCTCTCTCTCCCTCTCCCTTCCTCTCTGAAATCAATAAAAATATATTTTTTAAAAAAGGTTGACCCTCACAGACATAGATCAAGTCAGACATAAAGAAACTGGCCATGCCCGGCCAGTGTGGCTCAGTGGTGGAGCGTGACCTATGAACCAGGAGGTCATGGCTGGATTCTGGTCAGGCCACATGCCCGGGTTGCAGGCTCCATCTCCGACCAATGATTCTCTCTCAGCATTGATGTTTCTAGCTCTCTCTCTCTCCCTCTCCCTTCCTCTCTGAAATCAATAAAAAATATATATATTTAAAAAAGAAAGAAACTAATTGGCCTCCAACACACAGTCACAATCACAACCTGTGACAAGTGGCTGCTCACTGGCTCACTCTCTGGAGCAGGCGCACTTGCCACCACCCCGACCAATGATTCTCTCTCAGCATTGATGTTTCTAGCTCTCTCTCTCTCCCTCTCCCTTCCTCTCTGAAATCAATAAAAAATATATATATTTAAAAAAGAAAGAAACTAATTGGCCTCCAACACACAGTCACAATCACAACCTGTGACAAGTGGCTGCTCACTGGCTCACTCTCTGGAGCAGGCGCACTTGCCACCGATCTGGCAGGGAACCCAGGGCCAGACGGAACCCCAGGCACCTGGCGCGAACATGCCCGGGCAGCCCCTGCACCGACTCTCACCCCGTCTTGTGGGTTTCAATTCCCTTTTCCTTCTCAGTTGCCCATGGTCACTCCCACCCAGCCTGACTGGCTCATCCCTGTCCTTTCTTTCCCCAGGGCCCTGGGCTCTGTCTCCCCCGAACTCCCCATTCCCTCCCTGCCACACCCCTACCCGAACCACCACATCACCACAGGGTGAGTTGCCTCTGAGCGCCCAGCACCGAGCGGGCCAAGAAGAGATGCCCGTCCGGAGCAATCGTGGGCTTGCTCAGGTGCTCCCACTCGCTTCCACCAGGGCCAGATCCTACAAATTCCCGAGAGACGCAGGACGTGCAGACCTCACTGGAACTCTCCCAACTTTAGATTTGGGGGACTGGTTCGACCTCCCTCCTTCCTTCCCTTGCCCCATTCATTCATTCATGCATTCATCCCCCCTTCCTTCAAACTGTGGGTCATGAGCAAACCGTGGGTTGTGAAATCACTTTCGTGGATCCTATTGTTTTTATTCAAGTTTATTGAGATATATGTACACACAATAAAATTCACTTTTCCAGAGGACAGTTGGTGAGGCGTGAAAAATGTACACCCTTGTATACCACCTCAATCAAGATTCAGAACATTTCTATCCCCCCAAATACTTCCCTGTGCTCTTTTTTTAAAAAAAATATTTTATTGATTTTTTATAGAGAAGAAGGGAGAGGGACAGAGAGTTAGAAACATCGATGAGAGAGATCGATCAGCTGCCTCCTGCACGCCCCCTACTGGGGATGTGCCCGCAACCCAGGTACATGCCCTTGACCGGAATCGAACCCGGGACCCTTCAGTCCGCAGGCCGACGCTCTATCCACTGAGCCAAACCAGTTCGGCCTTCCCGTGCTCTTTAATAGTCAGTTCCTTCTACCTGCAACTTGAATGGCTCTTGACCAGACTGAAAACAATACGCAGAGTGTCATTAAAAAAAAAAAAAATCATGAAGTCAAAGGAAAATATTGTTTTGCGAAAGAGAACACAAAGAAAGTGTATTTTTGACTTTAAAGAATGCGTTTAAAGGCATTTGAGAAATGCGGCTTTATGTATTTATTTAAAATATATTTTTATTGACTTCAGAGAGGAAGGGAGAGGGAGAGAGAGATAGAAACATCAATGATGAAAGAGAATCATTGATGGGTTGCCTCCTGCATGGAGCCTGCAACCCTGGCATGTGCCCTGACCAGGAACCAAACTGTGACCTCCTGGTTCTTAGGTCAATGCTCAACCCCTGAGATCATGCATGGAAGTCATTGAATGCAGTGTCTGATATGTAGTAGGCGCCTAATAAATGTTAGCATTTATCACTCGTGCAACTGGGTATTGTGTTTGCTCTGTGCCTGGCAGTGATGAAGTTAAGAGAGAGGCAGGCCTCAGCCTTGGGCTAGCTCACGGTCCGGCCAGTACCCCTCACTCACTGGTCAGTGCCCTCAAGCTGCCCAGTCTAAGACTAAACACCAGTAGACCAGATGTGCTGGAATGATTTTCTGAGCAGAAAATGAGTGTGAAGAACTGGAGGAATCTGACTGGGTGGGT